AATGCCCGGGAGCTGCCGAGTGGTCCAGGCTTCCAGTCTTCACTCCTAACTTAAGAACTAGAAAGGGAAAGGTAAATTTACTGATTCCTCAAATACACCGCCACCTTAAATTCACTGATACCTCAAACACACTGTCACCTTCAATTCAGTGCTCCCTTAAATCTACTGGCACCTTAAATTCAGTGCTACCTTAAACACCTTAAATTCAGTGCTCCCTAAATCTATTGCCACCATAAATTCAGTGCTACCTTAAATGCAGTTCCAATTTAAATCCAGTTTTGTGGTTCTAGCTCAAAAACTGTGGGATGAAAAACATCTTATTTTTTGAGCATAGAATAATAAGAAGAAGAAGATTACAAAGAACAGTGTGTTGGCTTTTTCAAGCCAACTTAATAACTCAGCTAGTTTACACAGATTTACGTTGAGTTAATAAGCCTTAGCATGTGATAAGCCTATGAATTTAAGGGGTTAAATAAGTTTAATCATTTTGAAGCTAATATACACCTTTAAAATGTGATCACTGAAGCAGTTGATCCAACATTTCCTCTTTTGTCTGGTTAGGTTGCTTTTAAAATGCCAACTGCGGAGTGGCACATTTCAGTATGATTCATGAAATATAATTATGTGTTGACATCAAATGGAAAGTTTTACTGCCTTAATGCTACTTATTAATATCTTACTAATGGTGGGTGATATTATGATAGTTATTATACATAGTATGTTTCACAATATTTAGTGTTTCTGGGGTTTGTGAACAAATCAGAATGGACAAAATGAATAAGCAAAACTGCAGTGGAAAAAGACCATAAAGACCTACAAGAACAATGATTTGTTTTAAGAGAAACTGAGTCAGAACAGTTCAAAATAGCGGTGATAGGAACCAGATGTCTGAAGAGTTTAATGCCCTCACAGACATGAAATGGTCATGGGTACACCTACTGAGGCATGAGACACTGTTTTATGATAGTTCTGAGATAAGGTACCTAAAATGTACTTTGTAAATCCATTCATGGTGGACAAGTACATGTAGGCCATTGTACAGCAAAGTAGTCCCCAAAGAAAACTTATTTTTTCAGGTTTACCACAATTTTGCCATCATCAGCATAACATATATAGACATGTAGATTTACTGGTTGTTTTGGATGATAAATAGAATGGCTCTATTGTTGACCGATCGGCTGTGTCCCAGCAACTAGAACTTCTACATATGGTCCTATGTTCCTAGGGTCCTACACAGAGGTCTTCAAACCAGTCATCAGGGTTCCACAGACGATTCATGCTTATGCTCCCATCTAACTCACAATGCATAAGAATGAAGCCAAATTGTGGACCATCTGGGGGGCCCTGAGGACTGGTCTCCCCTAGGCCCTATGTTTCCAGTGTCCTATATTCTCCAGGCCCTATGTTCCCAGGGTGCTATATTCTCCAGGCCCTGTGTTCCCAGGGTCCTATGTTCTCAAGATCCTATATTCTCTAGGCCCTATGCTCCCAAGGCTCTATATTCCCTAGGCCCTATGTTTCCAGGGTCCTCTGTTCCCATGGCCCTATGTTCCTTGGGTCCTATGTTCTTAAGCTCCTATATTCCCTAGGCCCTATGCTCCCAAGGCCCTACATTGCCTAGGCCCTATGTTCCCAGTGTCCTACATTCCCCACACCTTATGTTCCCAGGGTCCTACGTTCTCAGGCTCCTATATTCCTCAGGCCCTATGATCCCAGGGTCCTATGTTCCAAAGGTCCTATATTCCCTAGGCCCTATGTTCTCAGGGTCCTACGTTTTCAGGGTCCTATGTTCCCAAGGCACTGTGTTCACCAAGTCCTATATTCCCCAGGCCCCCCTGCCCTGTGTTACAGAGTTCCTATGTTTTCAGGCCCTGTGTTCCCAGGGTCCTATAGTCCCTAAGCCTTATGTTCCCAGAGTCCTCTGTTTCCAAGGCTCTATATTCCTAAGGTCCTACGTTCCTTAGACTGTATGGTCCAGGGTCCTTTGTTCCCAAGGCCCTATGTTCCCATGGCTCTAGGTTGCCAGATTTCCAATGGTGGCACAGTGACAACCAAGCTGACTGATCATCTGTGTCCCAGCAACTACAACTTTTACCAAACATTGTTTCAAGTGGATTTACAGCTTTATGGAATGAAACTGCTCAACTGGTCTAAATCTGTCTTTTTATGATCCATGCAGTTCAGTGTTTGACAAGTACTGATGATACCTTTGACACATCCGATAATGATAACATATCATCATATCGTTCATCCCCAGTTCTTACCTTACTGACTAAAAAAAAGAAAAGGGATGGAAGAGCAGAGTGGCTGGCTCTACTCTGCAAATCCCCGGTAGTAAAAACAGTAAGATGAAGAGGTGCACTAAAATTAGCCAAGCTTAGAAAGAGGAAATGTAAACTTGTCTCTAGGCCTCGCGCACTAGTCATAAAACTGAGAGAGGGGGAAAAAAAGGACGCCTTCTTCTCAGCTCAAATGGAGAGGAGTGAATAAACAAACTCGACTCCCCCACCGCTAGTGTTTCTCCTGCTCATAAAAGAGAGAATTAACTTTGATGCTTTCAGACAGAGTGGAGAGAGAGGGAGAGAGGGAGGGAAAGGAAGACAGAGAGAGAGACACACAGACAGATAGAGAGGGTGAAAGAAAGAGGAAGAAGCTGCAAACATGTTGACTCTGTGCCAAAAATGATGGGATCACACCAATGACTCAGTGTGAATAAACCTCAAAATCTGTTTTGTTCGTGGTGAGAATTGCATAGTTCTCTCAGTCTGAATTCTCTATCATTAGATGAACCACTGGGTAGTCTAGAGAGCATGTGTGTTTATACGGGTTCTCCTGTGTGTTTTGTGTTTATGTCTACTTGCTACACTTTTTTTCCAAGAGTGTAAACTGTTATTTGCATTCTGCATTACAAAATAATACTGAAGTTCACTCTGCTATTGTTCTCTAAGATTATTTCTTCTCTTATATTGGAGTCACTGCAGGCAGGTTTCCATGTGTTTCCATGTTAATGCAAAAAAAATATTTTAATGCTAATGAAGATCTATGCAATGGATACAGCAATTCTAGGCAACATTTGGCAGAAGTTCACACAACTTTTTATGTGTGAGTAGAAAAATTGTTCATCATTGTGAAAACGTCTCAAAAGAAAAGAAATAATCAAATATTGCATCATTTTTCATGATTTTTAAGTAGCCTATGGAAAAGTTAGGGATTGTTTGTACAGTAAATGGCTGTAATAATTGTGTTGTGCAACCACTGGTTCCTGTCACCACCACTGTAAAGAAATCTGAGTTTCTCTGCAGTGAACAAATGACTTTGTTTACATTTTGACCATTGAGTTACATAGAAATATTGAAAAATTGGTGGAATTCCCCTTTTAAGAAAGAACAGGTGGAACAGGAGAAAAGATCAACTCACTGGTGAATAAATGAATACACTGAATTAATGGGCTGACATTCAAGTAGCTGCTTGTTACTATGCAGTTTATGCAGTTTTTGCATGTTGATTTTTGTTGTTTACAAGCTATTTATACTTGGTCTAGAGTCATTTGCAAAAGTTTGGGCACCCCTGTTCAAATTGTATGTTGTGTTGATTTTCAAAGTGAAAATAAGTTACATCTTACACAGAGAACACACTTCTGCACAATTACATTTTTGCAAAAGTGCATATGTAAGTATGTTCACTGTAGAGGACGTTTTAACTCATTTTCACTTAGAAAATCAACAAAGCCTAATTTGTTGGGGGGTGTTTAAATTTTTGCGACTATACGATTTCCGACTGTAGTCTTTTTTATGATGCAGTTGCGTACATGCAGTTGATTCTGACAGGAAAAAATAATGCAATATTGGATCATTTTTCATACTTTTTTCAGTATGTTATGGAGAAATAAGTGAAGCAAAACAGGAAATTTGTGCACAATTTGTGATATTAAATACTTGTGTTAATACTAAGTGTTTTATTGGATTATGCAAAACTTATGCAACAGCAATTTTTGCAGGAAATGACATCACTAGCCTTTTATCACTATAGGTCTATTTGAGAAAAAAGACCTGCCAGCCAGAAAACCAGAAATATTTTAATATATTTTCATTTCATTGCTTTATTGCTTGCAAAAATGCACAGAAATTCTATACAAACCTAGCTAGAGTGAGGTTTGACTTCTGCTTGTTTTTCTTTGAATGCAGCCAGCATACAGTCGGGTCTTTCACTTTCTTTCTCTCTCCAGTGCCTGTGGCTGACTCTTTGTCTGCTAAAGCTGAGAGTTGTTGGGCAGCCACTGTACAGTCATATGCAAAAGACTGAACACTCCTAGTCAAATGACACGTTTTGTTGATTTTCTAAGAGAGAATAAATTAACACATCCTCTACAGAGAACAGACTTAAATATGGTAATTCTTCTGCTAATTTAAGTGCACACTTTCCATTTATTTGCCAAAGTTAACATATTGAAAAATCTAACATATAAAACAAATAAAATGCGTTATACCTTTTGCACTCACCACATATTATGCTTTATTTTTTGCATGTATGCTAAATTCAGCAGATAAGACAGTATTGCTGCATTAAAATGTAGAGGATATGTTCACTTATTTTCACTTAGAAACTCAACACAGCATGTCGTTTGACCAGGGGGGCCCACAAAGCTTTTGCATAGAGCTGTATGTTAAACTTTAATCAGGCCTGAAATTGTGAACAGAATCTAAATATAGCCTGATTAATATCTTTCTAAATCTCACCACCTCTAACTGAAGATCGACTAAAACTGAACATTACTAAGGACAGTGCCTGTTATGCATTATGGTGGAAAAAAATACATATTTTAAAATCTCAATGATTGAATTTTGCACAATTTGAAAAAATAAAAAACAATGGAATTTGCTTTTAAGTGAGCTTGAATCAACAATGACAATTTCTTTACAAACCAAGCTTGACTAATGATGTCCAAACTTGCCCAAACCCCAGCATGGGCGGCCTATCTGAAGCCATACTGAGTGTGTTACCTCATTGATGAAGTCTCCGATGTCTCCGGGGTGCGGCGCGGCTGATCTGACGGGGTACTGAGGCTCCGGGTGCAGTGGTCTCTCATCTAGCCGCCGAATCCCCACCGGCTTCACCGAGTCCGGCTCCAGAGTGTCCGGCTGCTGCAGCTGACTCAAGTCATAATCCTGAACACACACACACAGTGAAGACAGGCACACGTGAGAGTCAGTGTGACGGGCAAATTACACACACATGCAAATATACTCTTGGACTACTACATGTTAGTTCAGAGAGCAGCAGACAAACAAGTCAGCACAGCCATGAAAAACAGTGGAAAACAAACCACAGTTTACTATTTATAAGCCACACAGCACTAAATATAGCTGCATGAAGGGCCTCCATCCAAAACGTCCTGTTTCACAAGAAACTTTGTGAACTACACAGCGGTTAGTCAATGAATAGTTTCCCATAATCCTCGGTTAGTGGTTTGAATTTTCTGACCACTCAAGTTGTGAGAAAAAGTAAGTGAACCCTCTGGGATTATACACAAACCAAAGCAGGGCCTGAAACCTCCTAATGATTGAGCAGGACCAATCAGCACTGGACTGCTGGTAAAGGAGGTTCCACTGCTAATGTGTAAAGTTCACATACTTTGTTCTTCAATAACTTTGATTTAAAGTATTTGGTCAATAAAGATATGATGCTGTAAAATGATGCGTGTGCAGTTTGTTTAATGAGACTCAATGAGTCTATACTTATTAATTTAACTAATATGAAGATCGGATCACATTTTAGGAGCCATTAATGAAGAAATTCACATAATTCCAAAGGGTTCACAAACTTTTCCACACAGATAGACAAACAGACAGACAGACAGTCAGACAGACAGATACAGATAGATACATAGATAGACAGGCAGACAGTCAGACAGATAGATAGACAGACAGAAAGACAGACAGATAGATAGACAGATAGATAGAAATAGATGAATAAACAGACAGATAGACAGACAGACAGACAGAAAGACAGATAGACTGACAGAAAGACAGACAGATAGATAGATAGACAGATAGATACAGATAGATACATAGATAGACAGATAGATAGATAGATAGATAGACAGATAGATAGATAGATAGATAGATAGATAGATAGATACATAGATAGACAGACAGATAGATAGACAGATAGACAGACAGAAAGACAGGCAGATAGATAGACAGATAGATAGAAATAGATAAATAAACAGATAGACTGACAGGCAGACAGACAGACAGATAGACAGACAGATAGACTGACAGGCACACAGACAGACAGATAGACAGATAGAAAGACAGAAAGACAGATACACTGACAGAAAGACAGTCAGACAGACAGATACAGATAGATACATAGATAGATAGGCAGACAGTCACATAGATAGATAGACAGACAGACAGAAAGACAGACAGAAAGACAGACAGATAGAAATAGATGAATAAACAGACAGACAGACAGACAGACAGACAGAAAGACAGATAGACTGACAGAAATACAGACAGATAGACAGATAGATAGATAGATAGATAGATAGATACATAGATAGATAGATAGATAGATACAGATAGATACAGATAGATACATAGATAGACAAGCAGATAGATAGACAGACAGACAGAAAGACAGGCAGATAGATAGACAGATAGATAGAAATAGATAAATAAACAGACTGACAGGCAGACAGACAGATAGACAGACAGATAGACTGTCAGGCAGACAGACAGACAGATAGACAGACAGAAAGACAGATAGATAGACAGATAGATAGAAATAGATAAATAAAAATAGATAGACAGAAAGACAGAAAGACAGATACACTGACAGACAGACAAACAGACAGATAGATAGACAGATAGATAGACAGACAGACAGACAGACAGACAGATGTATAGCTATACAGATAATTTCATGTTTATGTTTTGATTTTATAAACTGTTTCACATGACGCTCTCAGTAAAAGTGTGTCGTCAATATTGGCCGATCAGTCAGACACACTCACACATCCACACATGTGTACGGACGGCGCTGGACTAACAGTCCTAAAGGTGATCCGCGCTGCTCTTGGCTAATCGTGCTTCAGGCACAAAGCTCTTCATAAAGCCCCTCTAATCCTATTAACATCACCGTGGCAACCTCGCAGCCGCACCGTTTCTCCGCCACGTCACCGGAGTCTGCTGAGTGCCCATGAAGCGCCGGGCATTGTGGGATAGCGGAGTGATCGGAGTCATATTAGTGACTCAGCAGGGTTTTAATGAGAAGAAGTGAAATGAATTCAGCTGAATGAGACTCAGTAATACACACGTCCAGCAGACTTCCCCCCAAAAACAGCTGACGCATCCACAGAGTCAAGGCTATTGTGACTCCACTTTAGGTTAAGCTGTACTCCAATTAATATAAATATAATCCAATTTATTATAAATGTAATTCATGTTCAATACGGTGAATTCAGTAACATGCTTCTTTCCCACCTTACAGGATTCACCTATATTCTGTACCTGTATGCAATAATAGTATGTCTTATATGTGTTATATATCATCAAAACCTTGTACCTCCATTTTTTTAATCATAATCTGAAAAACCAGTAGCGAGTCATTCTATGCAAATGTCCATTTTTGTGTCCGTAGCGTTTACAGGTATATTACACTTGATAAACTTGTTAGGGTTACAATTTATTTATATTTTATGATAAAACAATGAGTTATTTTAACAATCACACCTTCTTGAGCCTCAATGTAGCAATATTGATTTTTAAATAAATTATATAGAATGCCAAGCATTTCAGAAGTCCTCGTCCTCACAGTCATGTGTAAACGATGAGGCCATATTTTGAGGAAAAAAAACACGGTTTTTAATTTTAACTACAATAATCTGTACATGACTATGGAATAAGTACATTAAATGACAAAGAAAACAAATGCCAAATAAATATTGAAAAATGAAAATGAAAGTTGTGGTCCCCAGGAGTCGTGTCACTGTTGTTACTGTGTAACAAAAAATCTTTATTTTTAAATTTATTTTGGAATAAAAATTACACTGATGACATCACTTGACTTCCTTTTACCTATTTTCTGAGGATCTATGAAGAAAAGTACATGGTGAGTCCACACCATTAGACATTTTCTCATTTAGCTCATGATTTCATATGAAGCTTTTAGTTGACGTCACTGGTGTGACCTACTTTATTCTTAGGTAGTTGTGAAAAACTAGAATACAAATGGATGAAATTACATATTTTAGTGGATATTCCATGATTGACAGCATGTGGTTTGATGCTCTGTAGCAGTTTTGTAAAAATGCATTTTGCATTCAAAATGTCTCTGGTGTTACCTTTCTTATGTGTAACACCAATGAGGATCAGTAACACCAGTGACTCCTATGGACAGATAAAAAGGTGGACGTTTCTGTAGAATGACTCGAAATTTAATGATGATGAAATGCTTCAAATTGACTGATCTATTTACATT